CTTCAAGCTCAAAACCCCATGATAATATCTAGAAAAAGCTGAAGTTAAAGCATTATAATTAGAGCCCAAATATAAATTATTGCTCTTCTGTCCAAGTAAAATGAAATGGATGAAAGAGACGGAAATTGTTTCGACAAAAGAATTATTCTATTATTATTTTGAAAAAAAATGTAAATTTATTTCAAAATCATTATAAATATACTGTATATTTATTTTTATATTTCATCTTAATATTTTTAATAATTTTTTTTTTGTACTTATGTATATATATAATAATTCTGTATCATAACATTAACTAAATGCAGTTTAAGAGATAAAGATATACTCTAATTTATTAAATTCTTTTTTTTAAAAAAGGGACACCATCATATTAAGTTCACAATCACTGGGCCTAGAAATCAGAGCCCATGATCCAATTGCCGGTAATTCAGGCCAGTATTGGCCCCCATAAACACATGTGAAAATTGAAAATAGAGTTAATTATAATGTAATCCTTATATTTTATAAGATAAACAAATTAGTCCCTGTATTTTAAAAAGCCTAGAAATCAGAGCCCATGATCCAATTACTGGAAATTCAGGCCAGTATTGGCCCATAAACACATGTGAAAATTGAAAATCGAGTTAATTATAATGTAATCCTTATAGTTTATAAGATAAAACAAATTAGTCCCTGTCGTTTAAACATTATTTAAATGATCCTTTGACTAGTGCTGGTCATTTTTAATTAAACAGTATTTTGTACCAAAAATATGTTTTATTTTCTCATAAATATTTTCATACTATCTATTTTTTTTCTAAAATTTTTATCTTGAAACAAATAAATAAGTAAAATGAAATGAATGAAAAATGATGTAAATGAATATGAAAATACAGGGATCAAACATATATTTTCTGAAACCACAAGGACTGATCAATGTGTAAACTTATAATTAGCCCTCGAAGCCATGATTTCTTCTAAATTACACAATCGACCCTTGCACTCCTACCAAATTACCACCTCCTCTCCCTGTCGGTGCAACTGGCACGATTTCCTCGCCGGTGCAGGAACCTTTCAATATTTCTGACTCGGCAACTCACACTTACTGTCCTTGAAGTTCGAACTTCAAGCTCGCTCTTCTCACTCATTTGCAAACGATTTGGAAATAAGATGGAAGAGGAGTCTTAGCAATTACAAATCAAAGATTCGAACGGCTCCCTTCTCCCACAGAATTCGCGTCTCAAATAGAATCCAAAAATGTCTCCGCTGTAACTCAATTCAATTCCTTCTCTATATCTCCTCCTTTTCAGAGCTTTCCATCAATACTGTCTTGTTTAGAGCTTATCTATTCACCACTACTATTTTTTGGCTTCAAAGGTGCTCAATGGATGCATTAAGAACTGGAAAGCTTTCGTCGAATGGAATCCGGCTAATGGTGGCCTCTGTTACTTCAAGGTCTCTTTAATGTTTTAGAATTATTTCTATTAAACGAATGTGATTACTTGATTCATTGAAATTTAGGAACGGGTAGGATCATCTACTGTGGAAGCTGTGCTATCCAAAACAGCACCCGTGTTTTACGGTGATATTAGAAGCCATGAAAGGGTAATTTTGTTTTTTTGCCCATTTTTTTATTAATTGATTGATTATTATTATTATGAATGTAGCTTTGAAGTGCTTCTTCTTACTGGTATGCTGTTTGTGGTCTCTGTAATGTTTTCGAATTATTTCTATTAAACGAATGTGATTACTTAATTCATTGAAATTTAGGAACGGGTAGGATCATCTACTGTGGAAGCTGTGCTATCTAAAACAGCACCCGTGTTTGACGGGGATATTAGAAGCCATGAAAGGGTAATTTTGTTTTTTTGCCCATTTTTTTATTAATTGATTGATTATTATTATTATGAATGTAGCTTTGAAGTGCTTCTTCTTACTGGTATGCTGTTTGTGGGTTCAATTACTGTTTTCCACCTTTATTGACTTTTGCAAGCAAAGTATGCGAAACACGGACAATGGTCCTGATTCTTTGTTGCAATCAGGAAGGCATCAGGATGCTGTTACTGATGTAGAGCCCAGTTTGCTTTCTGGCGATGCTCCTCGACAAATTTATATAGCACAGGTTGGAATTTTGCTGTTTCTAGAGGCCGGCCGACTGTTATTTTTCTTGTTTATCGCGTTTGATACTGTGTGATATTGAATTGTTACGATGGTGAAAATTTAAATTATGTTTGAATTTTAATTGTCTGTGATCAGGTTCTGATAATGAATCCTGAGGATCGAGAGAGTGTTCAACTTGAAGGTCTTAGGGATGACATTCAAACAATTTGTGCATTTCTTTCTCCACTTAGTTGTTATCTAGTTTGCATCTTTCCGTGGTTCACTATTTGTTTGCTGTTGATTGATTTTGCCTGCCTACATTTTTGGGGACAAAAGAACTAGCTTCTGTCAATTTGTGGATGAATAATGCTCAATCTAGATCAAGCACTCGCTATGATCCGCTGTTTTCTTTTATTTCTTTCTTTGTTTTTGTATATTCTGCACTGTGGAGACTTTCTCTCTTTAGCTGCTAGTTATAGATTCATGGTAATGCTAATAGCCCTTGCAGAATTTTATTATTTGTAAAAAACCTACAAAACTCTTTGCTATTTTTGCATGCTAATGCCTTCTTCCTACTCACGCAGCTCCATGTCGAGCTTTTAGTTTGAACCCTTGAGTATTGATTATTTGTAAAAAACCTACAAAACTCTTTACTATTTAACTATTTTGTTTAGACAGTTCCCTTTAGCAATTTATTTATTAGTTGAAAAATTGCCATTTTGTTGTACTGTTTCTCTGTTTTTTAGAATCTCAGACTCTCTTTGATTAATTAAAAATGCTTTATCTGTCCTCAAAAGGACTAATCTATTCTATATACTGCTTTTTTGCCTACTGAGTTTGCTGGCTTTGTTCTTTATGTTATGGTATTGGCTTTAAGACTATCCCTATGCATTAGATCTTGCTTATTTTGTATTTCCCTTTTGCTGAAGTATTTCTTTGTTGCAGTTGTTTTATGCCTCCCTTCTGCAAGTCCATTTTTTACCCAAAGCCTGTGATCGGTGAGGCCTCAAACCACATGCATGCCACTTTTTTGTGAGGAACAAGAAGTTAATTTCTGTTCTCTCTACATTTCATAAGAGCAGGAAAATGTAATTCGAGTAAGGTTTGCTTAACCACTGCAAACTTTGGAATTGTATATTTTTGTGATTGTTTATCTTTTTTGTTTTGTTTTCTTCTGGCTGGCAGTTCTGTTGCTCTTGAAAACACTGACTTCTCATTATATCTGAGAGCAAAATGGTCCATGGACTACGCTCAGAAGGTTTTTCTTCATGCAGGTGATGCACTTTTCATTCCTGAAGGCTGTTAAGGTTTAAAAATGCATCATTCCTGAAGGCTGGTAAGGTTTAAAAATGTAACGATGCTCATGAGAAAGTTCCCTGTACTAGGAAACTTCCTGTAATATGAGAATATAATGCTAACTTGAAGAGCTTCTGATATAGTTCTAGCCTTTATTTAAGTTTGGTATTGACCTTTTCTTTCTATTTTCATAACAAATTACAAGAGATCTGAGATGTGCCGTTTACTTTCTTTCATGACTTTTGTTTTCTGTTGTATCAGGGGTGTATCCATAAAGTTCATTGCTTAGTCATCACAAAAGGTGGTAGAGCTGACTAGAGAGATTGATGAATTCTTGTGGTGGAGGATGAGGAATTAGGAATTACAGTTGAGTTTGGGGAGGAAAACATAAAAATATGAGTTTTGGTGGCTGTTGGTTTGGTGTTGAATTCTGTAAACACTTGCAGGAATTGAGACCTGAAGGCAACATAAAGAAAATGACTCATAACTGAAGGTTACAGAAATAACCGAAGACTTCTGAAAAATAGGAAGTAAAACTTAACACGAAACCAACAACTTTCTGATCAAGAAACCTTTAAAAAAAAAATACTCTTCTTTGTTTATGCACAATTTATTACACCATCATTAAGTCATTAGACCTATTTCTTTGACTCGACTTCACTTTTAGTATTTAGTCAGGTGAGATGACTGTTGTCTCCACAGGTTCCACGAAGTAGATAGTGATGATTTGACCATTCCTGTCAATTTTGGTGGTAGTCCATTTTAATGTCTAATATGTTAGGGCACATGGATGCTTATTATATGCGGAGAATATTAAGAAGGTGCTTTTCATTGTTTCTGTTGTTTCTCCTTTTTGTCTCTTTTTTTTTTTAACTGAGAAATTGTTCAAGTTTGATGTCGGCATCTGCAGTTAAGCTATCACAATTTGGTGATTTTGTTTTCTCTAACGGGTTATATTGGCTCGCCAAATCAATGTATAAATTCAAGATTGACAGACAAAGAAATGGTGTGGCCATCGCCTTGATATGCCAGATGTTGCAAATGTCATTGCTTATTCCAAATTGAGACCTTTCTCTTGTTTTCAGGCACTGCAAAATGTTTTTTCTGTTAGCTTGCTTGCATCATATTTACATGAATTCTTTGCCAATGTGCAGTTCTTTTTGTGAGACTGCCTTGGGTTTGTCATCAGCCACGCCTCTGCAGTGTAAAAACATTGCAGTGGAAAGAGAAGATGTTTCTACAAATTATTAGTCAGAGATTCTGCTCAAGCTTCGAAAAGCTCGAGGGTCACTTACAGATAAAATTGTAAACCTAATTTAATTGTATTTGGATGCTTTGTTGAAGCTTTTAGATTTGTTTGTAGACTAAAAGCTTTGAAATCTCAAGTATTATGACTATTGACGCTCAAAATATCGTATGCAGAGTCTTCTTACTAAAGAGTACACATTAATGAAAATTTCAAAAGTTAGTTTCATCCAGTAAGTTTGAGTAGTCTACTATACTGTTTCTTTTCCTTTCCGTCTCTTGTTTTGAGCTTCAAGTTTATGGTCAAGCATTTCAACATGTATATTATATTTGAAATCAGGACAGAACCAAGCACTCCCCAAGGCTTCTCCTGGCTCAGAGAAACTGAAGAGGCATACATGTGAGCTGCTCCGTAATGGAGGAAGAGGTCAGTTTTAATAATTACACCATTTGGTTTTCTTTCCCTTTTCAGTTCTTACCCAAAGGAATTCCTAGCTTGTTTCCAGTGTCTTTCTGGATACTGATCTTGATAATGTTGTACCAGATCATGGTTGTTGTCACTCGAACATGTCATTCAAGAGACAGGGCTTACAAGGGCAGGACCAACAGCAGAAAGTTAAATTGCATGAATTTGAACCATGTTCACTCCAGGCTCTTCATGAACTTGTTTCTTTAGTTCATGACTGTTCGTGTTAACATCACTGACCAAAGTCAATGCATACAATCAACCCCAACAAATGATTCTAATGTTAGCATGAAAGATGAATGCGATGAAACTTTGACAACTAATTTATTTTTCTTGGAGGATAATCCAGTTGCTAAAATTCTTTGGACACTTCATCCGAGAACTCTTCAGAGCATCCTTCTTTCCATGGCGGCAAGTATGCTCTCCCTTGTAAAGCTTCAATAGGTGGATGGGATTTTGATTAATAGTGTAGGAAATTCCCAGCTATCACAAAGATAAGCTCCAATAATACATGTCATATCCCTCTTCCCAGCACAATTTTCCGAGAACCATGGATGCTCTAATACTGCACTTGCTTTCACCAGTGGGAGCGGAGGTACTTGCATGGAAGTTTGATGAAATTGATCAAGAGACAATAGAAGGCGATTGGTCTTTGTCAAATTCATGAAGACTTTTTTTTTTTTTAAAAAAAAAAATATTTTTTAAAAGGAAAAAAAAATCGCTGTCATTTTTTATTTCAGGAACAAATTCTACCAAGGCTTTTATGGTGCATTTGATGATCAATTTGCTTGCTGCAATGGATGCAGTCCTTGACGGGAAGGAATTTATGGTGCATTTGATGATCAATTTGCTGCAATGGATGCAGTCCTTAACGGGAAGGAATTATATGCTCACTGGGTGATTGTTTTTTCCTCTTGAATAATTACATACTTTTATGATTTCAATTTGTATGTATTTAGGTACTTATGTTTTGCATGTGACATTTTGCTTTAGGCTCAATGATTTATTTATTACTATAATGGTGAGGAAATAACAGTGTTTGAAAGTGCTAGAGCATCCAACCGAAAAAGCTGAAAGGTAGGAATTGGGATTGCTTCCAAATTCTCCCTCCTAGGACTTCGCTTCCATGACATATAATTCAGTAACGGCCTACGGGCTTAACTTGTGGTCAATCAACTTAACGGTGAAATGCAAGCTGGAAGGAATTATATGCTCACTGGGTGATTTTTTTCTTCTTCTTGAATCTGTCTTGCATAACTACATATAAATTACATATTTTTATGATTTCAATTTGTATGCATTTAGATACTTATGTTTTGCATGTGACATTTTGCTTTAGGCTCAATGATTTATTTATTACTATAATGGTGAGGAAATAACAGTGATTGAAAGTGCTAGAGCATCCAACCGAAAAAGCTGAAAGGTAGGAAGTGGGATTGCTTCCAAATTCTCCCTCCTAGGACTTCGCTTCCATGACCTATAATTCAGTAATGGCCTACGGGCTTAACTTGTGGTCACTCAACTTAACAGTGAAATACAGCAAGTTACAACCACCCAAAAACTTAATATAGTATGCAGAAAGTCTCATGCTATATTTTAAAATTATACCAATATATCAAAATGCAATTAAAATCACAGCCTCCCCTCTGTTTGACATGTGATTTTCTGAGTTTCGAGCATTCTCTCTTGGGCATTACTGTAATTGGCCCAATCTCAACCAGTATTGTCTTTGAAGTTTAAATGGTCAGACTCTACATCTTCACTAGCTATGTGCCACAGAAATTTCTTTTCCGAGTTGTTATATTCCAGCATGTTACAGATTCAATTTTGATTCTTCACTGGCTTCATGTTACGAAGCCTCTTTCTGCATGATTTTATTGCTCCATGCGAAGATGAAGCTCTTCCTGGTTTGGAACTTGGTGATGGGGTTCACATAGCACACGTGACACATAGGTTAGAAGGTTAACATGCGAACAGATTTTTTTTGCACTTAGCCAGGATCCTTTTTAGATATGATACTAAATAGATTTTGGTGAATGAGCCCAGAAATCCATGTTTCTTACCCGTTTATTGGTATTGGTGAAACAAAAACACTCAAGTTCTTCCCGGAAAAAGTTTGCATGGAGGACTGTTGCTGTGCCATGTTAATATCGCCATGCATGATCATTACACTCGCAGTTTATATACTCTGAAGTCTGGATTTTTATTCCTTTTGCACTTTAAAAGCTGTACTGGCTGAATCCAACTCTGGATTCCTACTCTTATTATAGTTTTCTGATCCAGTTCAACTTTGACCACATCGAATTTTCCCCAAATGAGCGTCTTTTTAAAGCTGTTCATGGCCTTTGTTTTCTTTTTGGTTCTTTGTATTTTCCTATCTTCATCCGCATCTTCATCTAGACGAACTTTTATTTGTATTAGTTTTGTGGCATCATCATCTTTATCTTTGATTCATACGCAAGTGTCGTAAAGTCTTCCAAGCATGCCTATAGATAAATGAGTACATTCTAAAAGTTTCCTACTCTGCTAAAACAGAATTGGTTGTTAAAGATGAACATTATGTTGATCAGCTTTGATGCATTGGGGACTGATGAGTATAAATTTGACATTTAATTTTCTGGTTGCAGGCATTTGAAAATTCTCTCGATAAATACTCGGGAGTAAACTTTGACGTTCCACCACCAATTTGATAGGCCATGCAGTGATGCAATTTCATGAAAGAATTGGTCCCACCTGCAGTATTAAAAGAGTCGAGCAAAGCATTTCCATAGAAGCAGCTTTCTGTCATAATCGGTTCTTTTACATGTGACTCATCCATGCTGTAGAAATATAAATGATTGCTAACTTTGAATAGTGCTGTATATGTCACATCTTTCAATTTGCCACACTATCCCAAGTAATTTGAGTTTGTAGTCTGAATTATGAAACTTCATCCAAAATGGTCTGTCGAGAACGCATAAGCTATTAATATCTGTCGGCATCAATAGCAATATCTTCCCTAAATAACGGCTTTCGTCTTTAAATCAGAGCAACACTGGAGAAAGAGGTACATGTGGAAAATAATCTGACATTATGTATGATTCACCCGGCCAACAAGCATCTCTGCAGTTGACACAAACCAGAAGGAAAGGTCACGTAACCATATAGTTGTTAACAGATAACGCTTGTCTGGTTTCTCACCTTCTGTCAATTTCTTTATTATGAACGTATTGCTGAAATCTTGTCAGCCAAAATTTATGAGGTAAAAGAAAATGAGGTTTCATGGAATGCTGTCAAAGATGCAATTTAAACTGTATTTGAGACCACGGTGGTGTATATGTCATTTACTTTTTCTTAATTCATTACTGATGACACCTATGAGGCGTTGTGTGGAAAAGAGTATGCTGCATGGGGATTTGCAGCAGGAGGATTAAAGAGGAAAAAGCATAGAAAAGAAGGCTTTGGAAATTGCTAGGACTGGGAGGAAGAAAAGAGGGAAAAGGAGGGTTTGTTAAGATGAGGTTCCCTAATGGAAGATGACATATGCAAGGGTGTTAAGAGAGGAAAAGGGTGGAGATAATGGAAGAGAAACTTTTGGCTCGTCTGGTTGTGCGGCAGAGGGATATAAAAAAGATGCAGTCTTTTTTAGCAGGCAAATGGCATGTATAGTATCTTAACCCAGCAACTTACACATATACTTTCTAAAAGCTTGGATATACCATAAAACACCCGCAACCTCTCCTTTTTATTAATCCCTAGGTGTATCCTCCCTCTTCTCCTAGTGAATATACAAAGTTGCGGTAACAAGAATTTGCCCATTACTTTTCTCTGGTTCAGATGCTGCGAGTATATATGCAAATTGAACCTGAGGATATCTACTCGTAACCTGAAAATCTTCAGGATCAACGAAGAACTCTTCATACGCCATCTTTGGGGATAAACAAACCCTAAAATCATGTAAACCATTTTGTACGTGATTCTTCTAGTCATTTCTAGATGTGTATCGTTGGTTGCAAAGATATTGACTTGCAGATTTCACTGTTTTCAGATGGAGACTGGTCTCTAGACATCGCAATTTAATTTGTTAAAGAATGAGATCGACTGGTGGGTCATGGAAACAAAGTTGAGATAAATCATTGGAATCTTAATAATATTGGTTAAGTTGCCAACCAAAGCATGGGGACATGCACAAAATTTGATAAAGGATGTAGGGAGGTCATCAAGGAAAAGAAGACTCAGAGAATTGTAATTCAAAGTTGTATTGAGCATCTTTTTCATAACCGTTGACAATACTCTCTTCTCCTCTCCTCTCTCCTTTTCCTTTTGGTTTAGTGCCACTATGTCCCGGACCACCACCACACTCGCACAAATACACATACAGCATCAACTTAGTAGCCTTTTTACTCACGCTTATAACAGGTTTTACAGCCATCTATACCATCTTTAGAAAAGGCTACAATTCTTTGATATCATCAAAAAAATTTCCCCGTAGTACCATAAAGTGATGGTAGACGAAAAAGAAATTCTTGGAAATTGCTAATATCTCTTGAATCCTTAACAGGGATTTGATTGGAGAGGGTAAACAAAAAGGTGGAATTGCCAGAAATTTCTAAACCTATGCCCCAACTGCTTATGCTACGGTATCATCAAGGTTTCCCATCTTAGCATAGTTTATGTGCTTAAAGGGTAAATAATGACTCATTCGAAAAAAACCATCGGCTCCCTTCTTCCGAGGCAGGGAGAGCTATATTTTAATTTTCCGGAGCCCATTAATTGCTTGATGAGATCGGCTCACCCACTTATAGATTCGGTCTGTGTGAATGTGTTGACACTATGATAGATAGCTTTTCCGAGCTCAATCACTTCCTAATCCATTCGAGGACATCTCATCCAGAAAAAGAAAAAAAAAAAGACTGATCGGACGGATTTTCCACTATTTAGTCACACAAACGTACCTAGGTTCTGTTGAATCGGTCCTATCGAAGA